GAATTCCCCAGCCAGCATGGCTGGCTGGGGAATTCTGGGAGTTGAAGTCCACACATCTTAAACTTGCCAAGATTGAAAAACCCTGTGCTACAGTCTTCTCAACTTTCCTCCATGTGACATCATTTGGGCTACTTAAAATGTGCCAACGTAATCATTATTGATCATGGCGGTGGTATCTTTGCCCTGATTAGCTCTATCTGCTTCTCTGCAAAGAGACCTCCTCTTAGTAAAAAGGCTGGGGATAATTATGTCTGTTTTTTTGTTATTTTGAAGAAGCTCAAAAGAAGGGAAGGAGTGCAAAATCTCTCTCCTGCCCTCCACCCCCTTACTCCCAGGCTGCAATTCTGCAGTATAAGATCTCTTCTAAGGTGGATTCTAGCACTGTCTTTAGAACTGGGTGCTTGGATTTGTCCAAGCGCAGTGTGGTTTCACTTGATTCCAGTCTACCTTTTGAATAGATTTCAAGAAATATTGGGGTGGGGGAGCTCTTCCCTGCCTTTACATTTTAATTTGCTAGGTAGTGCTGGAAACATATTTTTGTCGATTTGTATAGTTTTCCCTTGGTAATTAGTTCTCTCTCCTTAATTTATTGTGGTGCTGATAACCTATTTATGATGGTGATGTTTTTGTTCTCTCTTTTTTTTTCCTCCAGTATCCCCAGCTGAGCCAGGAGTCAGCTTCTCCATTTGTCTTCATCTGTTCTAACCCCCAAGAGATGGTTATTAAGTTTCCCATCAAAGGCAGACATAAAATCTGTAAGTAGCAGGTCTCTACTCCTGAAGGAGGGAGGACACTGGCAAAATGACCCCAGGTGGGGTCCTTCCTTTCTCAGTGGGTCTCCTAGACTTATCTGGCAGCTGCATGTCCTGGCAGGCAGTGGGACTAGGGCAGGCCGCAGCAGTGGGACATCATGGGGTGCCAGCAACTTCCCAGGGAAACCGAGTCGATCTTTGTAGATGCTCCCTGGCAAGCTCTGTCCTTGCTTGCATGTTTTTCACTCCCATCCCCGGTGCCCTAAAGTCCCTGCTTGAAAGCTTCGATTATGCTGTTTTTCATGCCAGGGCAAATCGACCTTGAGCCTTTTGTTTCCTCTTTAGTTTTCCCATTCCCTGAAGAACACAGCTTGCTCCTGGCCAAGCCACTTTCCGTTGCCCTTATAGAAGTAGGAAAACCCTTGTAATACCATTGGGCCAAGCCACAGCCCAGTAGGCACCAATTTGTCTTGAGAGGAAATAATTACAAAATTGATATTCATGTGTGATCAGGGAGCAGCTTGGGGAAAGATCATTGATCTGGTAGACCACCTTTCCTAAAGTTCATTTCTCTTGAAGCCTCTCAGTTGGCATGAAAAGCGACATTTGGATGGGTCTGTAGAGAATTTAAGGGCGGAATCTTGCACATACAGGTAGTCCTCGCTTAATGACCATTCATTTAACCGTGGCTCAAAGTTATGAGGGCCTTGGAAAAAGTGCTTTATGACCCATACTTGCACTTATGACCATCACAAACTGCTGCACCCCCCCGCAATCACATGATCACAATTAGTGACCTTTTTATGGTGGTCATTAAGTGAATTACCATGGTAATTAAGTGAATCACACAGTCATTAAGCGCATCACATGGTCATTAAGTGAATTCCGGCAAAAAACGTCCATCGGGAAGCTGGATTCGCTTAATGATTGTCGTAAAAATGGTCATAAAATTGGGTCCGGTCACATGATAACTTGCTGAACGATGGCCCTGCTTAACGACCAATTTTCTAGTCCCTATTGTGGTTGTTAAGTGAGGACTACCTGTAGACGTGAATTCTTACCTAGCCTAGGTTCTGGAAAAGCCAGACACTTCCATCTCTGTTATATTTAGGAAGCAACATGTTTACAGTCAAGGATGCATTAACAATTGCCTCCCTTTGGTATCATCTTCTCTCACCTGTCTAGCAGTTACCGCTGATAAAATGATGGCAATAATTACAGTCACCATGCAACATCGATGCTTGTCTAATTACCTTGATTTGATCTTATATTTCCTATGAAGCACTAGAGTTATTCCACATGTGACAATTTCTTACACGGATATCATTTCTGCATAGCTAAACTGTGTTTAATTTTTCCATGCATTGTGAGTTGACTTACATTTGTTTTGTTGTATACCCCTTGGAAACTCTTAAAGAAATCCAGCTTTCCTTGCATGTGAAAGGACTTTTCTGCGCTTATTAACATGTGAGATTATCCCTGTGCTTTTCTACTCTAAGGGGAAAAAAAATTGCACATTAAGTGGTCCTCAGTGACCTGTATTTATGCTGAGGAAAGCAGCTTTTGGCCAAAATAAAATCTCTAGACTCATTATTGTAATCTAGAACTCAACAGGATCATGCTGTTGAAATGTGGAGGCAAAATGGTGGTTTTGGACAGCATGGTATGTCCAATTTTGCATTATTTAAGATTTAAAAAATGCTTACTTTAATATCTGCTTTGTACTTGAGAACACACAGAAACACACTGCTCCAAATTTTTAAAGTGCCAGGAATATCAGGACAATCCATATTAATTCTTTGCTGGCCACAAAGCCCTGAGACTTTCTGAAGCTGAAATCATCCCTTAGAAAGGAAAAACTTGCAGATTTCCAATTTAACCAATGATCTAATTGAAATGGGGTGATCTTGGTCCTGAGAAATAAACCTTGACCCCCGACAAGTCCTCCTCCCTGCTGTCCTTTTTCCTCATCTTTAGGTGTCCTGATTCAAGGAAGATTCTGCTTTGATATCTTGGTTGGTAAGTGGTACTTAAGGCAGTTTCCTGCTTCAGCAGTCATAGGAAACTGTGCTTTAACAAACCACAAAATGTTACTTGAAGGCAGACCCTCAAAGGAAAGGTGAAGAATGAGAAAGGAACCCTCTCATGGCACTATTGGTCCAAGATCATTGTAAAACTGGACTAGTAACTTCCTGTCATAGTTTTAATGAACATTTGTTTGTAAACAACAATATACAGTCATGTGGTTTAGCCTGAGGAATTGGAGTAGATGTGTATCGTGGGTCAGGGTTTGACTGATCCTTCAAACTTAACCATTTCCTGCTGGAAAAAGTTCTTTTTAAATAGTGTTGACTTTATTTAAGAGGGGAAAAAACCCCCACTATTTGTTAGTTTAGATGTCTGAATTTGGCTTCTAACCTGCTGTGTTATCTACAGTTCATCTCCAACTTTTCTAATGCACAGATGCAATCACATTTTTCTTTCTTTTGCTCTCTGCCTTTGAAGAGTTCTGAACAAGATGATGAATAATACTAGAAATGATTTCAATAACTGCTGAGTTCTGATTTCCAAAGAGGACTGCTACTGCTTTTGCATCTCCAGCATGTTTGGATGATGAAATTTGTGGTCCTTTGTTCTGAGCCCTCAAAGCAACCAAATTAGTGAGCAATCAGCAAAATATCACCCACTCCTGCTTTGGAGGAGGGGGTGTTTTTAAATATTGAGTCTGAGGTGTTACATGAACATCCAAAACTCGTTGATTAATTGATCGTTTTGGTGTTTATTGTTCCTTTTTAGTTGTTTTTTTTCTTCTCTAATGGACCAGCTGGATGCATTCCCCTCCCTACCCCCTGCCACTATATTATTGTAATCAAGAAGTGTGTATGGTAAAATCACTCCAGTCTCCACTATTAGGAAACAGCATTTATATCTCTGCAGGGGTGGCCTTTTTGTATTCTCCCTGTATGACCTTGTCTATAGCAACTGGCTCGCACTTCTGTATTTGTCGTAGAAACACAGGTACGTGTGGCTTGATTTCCTGACTTACATCGTGGCTTTGTCTCACAAAGGAGAGAGCCTGTTGTTGTTCAAGCCAGTCTGGCAGCTGTGGTGGCACAGCCCTTAACAGGAATGCACCTGGCAGATCATCTTGATTCAGCCTATTTGTTGGAGACAGTGAGTGTGTGGTGTGTCTGTCAAGGACCTCCTTGGGAGATCAGCTTCCTCCCTACAAGAATCAAAGACTTGCCTATTTTTATCACTCGTGATTGTTTCTCTCACCCTCCCAGAGGGCTTGGCCAGCTTCTGACAGGAGGGTCCCTATCCGGGGGGCCCCTGCATCTCTCAGTAGGTTCTGGTAGTGCCCAGTGGTGGCACACTTGCAGGGGCGGTTTGCACAACATGCAAAATATGATTTGTTCACGTGGGGAATAGTGTGTTGTATGACCCCAGTCACTGTTTGCAAACCATGACTTATGGTTTAGCATGTTTTATGAATATCATTGAGGTTTGTGAACCATGGTTTATGAGTTAGTTTACACCAATTCAGCCTGTGTTTGATTCAGGATACCTTGACAGGTGGTGTGTGTTAGTTTGGGGCAGCCAAGAGGCAGCATTTTAATTTTGCACAGGGCCCCTGATGTTAGCATCAGCCAGGGGTATAATGGGGAATCAACCTTGTTGCCTAATGTTTTTTAGCAGCGGGCCATGCAGCAGGTGATTGTGGGGAGGGGGAGACCTGATAGAGCCCCCGGCAGTTAGCTGCCTATAGAGGCTGGATGCTGGGGCCAGCTCTGATCATTAGATTTCCTGAGAGATGGCCAGGCTCAAGACAAGCTTGTTTTCTCACGTCGATGCAGCAGAATTGGCATTTCTGCTACCGGCACAAACCCTTCATATGTCACCCTGGGTCATTTCCAAACTGACAGTTCTCTTCTTGAAGCAGTTTCAGCCTAACAGACTGGAAAGTGACTTTCGGCTTTGCCACTTTCCTTTTCCCTTTCCCTTTTACTCTCTCTTGGAAGAATTTAGCATGTAAGCAGGGGGCTGGGGGAGAAAAGACAGTCATTCCAGGCCATCAGGAAATAGTGACAAGGGTGTGGGAACAGAGACATTGCAAGCCTTTAACGTGCCCTTTGAAGTATTCTCTGCCATGACTGAAGCTGAGTGTACAAGAAAGACTTTAATTCCATCCAGTATGTATGTATGTATGTATGTATGTATGTATTTATTTATTTATTTATTTATTTATTTAAATGTATTGGCCACCCACCTCCAGTGGACAGTAATCAGGAGGAGTCCAGTCAGACTAACACGGCTGTCCTCCTACAGTGTCTTTAGTTCCATGGATACTTTTTCTCAGGATTGTAGTTCTCACTAAATCTATTCACTTAGCTCTGAGGTTGACAGCCCCAGGATCCCTTTGATCCCTAATTATTTTATTTTCAGCATGTTCCTCCTGTTTAATAGACTTTCTGCAAGAGTTACACCCCTTCTTATCCCATCCTCATGGCTTCTCCCTTTGACTCTCTGCAGATTAGGAGAAACTCTATACTGGCTTCTATTTTCACTGCTTCTGCTTATAAAAGAAATACATTTATCTCAAGATTGTTAGTGAGTAAATGAGCATGAAACTGAGCAAACTCAGGGAGGCAGTGAAGGACAGGAAGTCTGGCGCAATATGGTTCATGGGGTCACGAAGAGTTGGACATGACTTAACGACTGAACAACAACAACAACATATTTGAGGTTAGCAATAGTGAGGCCTGGCCAAAATACATTTGCAATATCAAAGGGATCCTGGGGCTGTCAACCTCAGAGCTAAGTGAAAGTCTGGCGCAATATGGTTCATGGGGTCACGAAGAGTTGGACATGACTTAACGACTGAACAACAACAACAACATATTTGAGGTTAGCAATAGTGAGGCCTGGCCAAAATACATTTGCAATCTGGTTTCCCAAAACCAAGTATAAAAGGACATTCTGGAATTGGGGGCAGAAGCAAAGCAGAGCAGAGATGATGGGATAGGATAAGGGAATGTTTCTCAACCTTGGCAACTTTAAGATATGTGGAGTTTAACTCCCAGAATTCTCCAGCCAGCCATGGGGAATTCTGGGAGGTAAAGTCCACATATCTTAAAGTTGCCAAGGTTGAGAAACATTCCCAAAGTTGCCAAGGTTGAGAAACATTCCCAAAGTTGCCAAGGTTGAGAAACATTCCCAAAGTTGCCAAGGTTGAGAAACATTCCCAAAGTTGCCAAGGTTGAGAAACACTGGGATAAGAACTGAGATAAATCAGATTTGGGACTCAGTTTCCCATTTTGCATGTGGCAAGTGCTGCAAAATGCTCAGTTAAAAAAAAGGAAAATGGATATAGCTTTTTCTAGTTGGGCAATCGGGCCACTGGTTATTAAAAAGAGTTTGCAAATGGTTATTGAAAAGAGCGCGCTGGGGAATTCTGGGAGTCGAAGTCCACATATCTTAAAGTCCCCAAGGTTGGGAAACCCTGAATTAAACATTTCAGGAGAGGGGGTTGGTTTTACCAGCTCCCTCCCCTAACTGGAGTCCAAGAATTTCCTACCTCCTGGAGTAGATAAGGCTGGGGAAGGTTGCAAAGGAAATTCCAGCTCCACGAACCCTATGCTGTTCACAGGAGAGAAGTTAGGATCCAAGCCACTTGGAAGCTCCTGAAATTTCATGTGAATTCCAACAGGCACAGAGTCAAATACTATCAAACTCCTTGAGCTCCTGAACGACCTGTGTTCATCCAATACAAAGCCAAACAAATCACGGAATGGGTTGGTGCAGTGGGTAGATCCAGCCAGGCTACAGAAGACGGTGCTGAGCTAGGTGATGATATAAGCTATTTGTCAGACTCTGTGTAAAATACCTGTCCAGGTTCCAAAGTCATCCTTGTATCTCTACAATTACAAGCCAACACACACCAGCTCATCCGCTGCATTGTCTCAGACGTTCTATAAGCACTTCCCCATATGCCCTCATTCTCTGCGACCCCCAGATGGCTCCATCATGCTCAGAACAGTGGGGTTGGTACAGTAGCAGGGACCTCTCTGAGGGGACTGGATGCCACTAATGAGTTCCTGCTGGTTATGGATGAGCATGTCTCACAACAGCCTGTGCCTGAACAGGGCCAAGACGAAGTCAAGCTTTTGACAAATATTCCTGCCTCCGTTTTAGACAGCAGGCCAAGGACAGTTGCTTCCTGCTTACTTGTATAACATCGGAAGGTGTTAGCAGAGCACATGCCTAGCCCGCAAAAATTAAGGCTTGGGCACCAAGGATGTGGACTATTCTCTGCTTTCCCCACCACACCCCTTTACAGCACTCTCTTCCTCCTGTAGGGAAATATCTGCCCTTGTAGATCCAAGCCTGGCAAGAAGGAAAGAGCTAAGCAGTATGAGGACTTTCTCTTGGCAGCCCTTGCATCTGATGTGCCGTGCAAAGCTACAAAAATGGTGGTGCCGTCCCGCTAGTGTTGGAGGAAGATGAGCTGGTGCATTGCTGGGCAGAAGCATTATGGCAGATGATCCAGTCGCTCAGTCCAAGAGAGATTAGAATGCAGACCGCTTGGTTGAACAGGATGATGGCACCAGCTGATAGTTCCTAGCAGTCCAAGGGCAGCCTGTAATATATCATAGGGTCCTTTGGTGCTTTCCTATCCTTTATTCTTTAAAGCCATATACAGGCACTTGCACATTGTGGTTAAGCTGGCAACAGGTGATCTAAGCCAGATAAACGAGTTTTCCCTATGAGATGTTTTGGGCTTCAGCTCCATCATACCCTAACCAGCTTTCCTTTCTTCTCCTGCTGCTCCACCTTGTTGGCTTTGGACCAGCTTGGGGATCTGAACAAAATGAGAGAAAATATTTGAAATTAGTATTCAGCGTAAGCAGCTTGTCATGAGAGATATGAAAGAGAGCTGGATCCCAACAATGAGCAAAGCTAGATTGGTTTTAATCATGGCTTATTGAATGAGCCAGAGTTGGTTGGGTTCACACAACCTGCTAAGTCATCAGTTATGGTTTACTGTCCTTGGTGGAATGAGAAAAAAAATCACAGTTTGGCTTAGCCTAGTGAATGGACCCAGCAAAAGAGAGAGAAAGTGAAAAGATGATGAAGGAGAAGAAAAGTTGGGGGCCTCCTTCAGGATTAAGTTGTAGACCAGTGTTTCTCAACCGTGGCAACTTTAAGTTGTATGGACTTCAACTCCCAGGATTCCCCAGCCAGCAAGCTGGGTGGGGAATTCTGGGAGTTGAAGTCCACACACCTTAAAGTTGCCAAGGTTGGGAAACACTGTTGTAGACTTTCAACATACAACCATGAGGTTACAGGAAAGCTTTTGTCCTGAGGATGGCCACATTTGCATCCAGAATACTCTGCTGCCCTCTGTTTGCAGGTTGTATTAAGCAGGTTTATTAAGTGGCCTGTTTGCTCTTTGGGGGCTGTCTGACTTGCAACAATTGCCCATTTTCATTCAGTTTTACTGGGCATGCAGGCCAACTTCAGTCCTCTTTCTTGCTCTTTCCCCAGGATTTCTTCCCCGCTTCTTGCCTTCTGCACAAGGCTTTCCACTCCAAAGCTGGATTTTTGGAATTGGTCTGTTGTCTGAAGAGGGAAAATCCAAGGAGAGCAGCTCACTAGCTAGGAGAGATCTTATTGCCTGCAGCTGATTTGAATTACAAACAGCCTTGAAGAATAAGTACTAATGAGTTCCCCCCTCCCAACCCTTTTCCCTTCTCTCTTTTTAGGGAAGCTGGATTCAAAGATTCATCAGGGAGCAAAGAAGGGGTTAATGAGGCAGAAAGTAGCCGTGTGAGCTCCCAGGGCACAAATCCTCCTTTTTCTCCACTGCACTCCCCACTGTACTCACCACTCCTGGGCACAAGAGAAGAATGGCTCTCAACTCAGCCTGAGACTTCAGAGTGGAGGCCCCAGGAGCACTGAGGAAGAAGCGCGGGCACACTGTGAACTCAAGGGTTTGGTGCAGAAGAAAACAAAGAAGGAAAATTGCTGTTAACTTGCATCATTATAATCAAAGCAAAAAAAAAAAATGTGCTGAGTTGTTTGTGACCAAAGGGAACCCTAGGAGAGGGTGGAATTATGCCTTGATGTCTCCCCCAGGGTCTGGAGGGTTATCTTAGACCAGCTGGGCACTGTTTGGTGTCCTCCTTGGACTACAGTTTCCATTCTCTTAATTATGGATGTTGGAATCTATAATAGCTGAAGAACACCAAGTCCAGAAGGCTTTAGAAGCAGCCCTGTGCTAAAAGTTACGGACAGAGAACTTTTCACTTCCTTCTCTGCCTCAGCGGGCTTCCTTTTTCATATGGCCTCTTTCCTTTCTTGCTGGATATAGAATCCAGTAGCCAGTTTGCCATGGGAATCATCATGGCCCACAACAGCACCTGGTTTGGGGAAAGATGTGCCAGAGTTGTACAAAGCACCAGTCAGAATTGCTTGCTGAGAAACAGGGACCGGCATACATTTATCCCTTTTATTAATTTACAAAGTGGGGCTAAGGTCAAGAGTACAGTTGAGCGTGGGCTATCTGTGGCTCTCCTCCTGCTCCTAACCCAACACATCACCTTAAATAATTTGCTTTTATTCAAGTAAACACACCCGTGCACGTGGGCATCACCAGAGAATAAGAAGAGCTGGCTAATGGTGGATTTGTGTGTATGAGCTGAAATGCCATGCATTGTGGGTGGAAAAGTGTGTTTTACTTCCTCTCTTTAATTCTTCTTATCGAGTGACATGTTCTGTTCCAATGGGTTGTGTTTCTATCTGCCTTGAAATGCTCTTAGCTCCCATTTCTACCTTGACCAAGTGCCAACAACTCAGTGTTCCTCAGGAATACCAACATGCCAGAGGTGTGTCCTAGCTTGGCTACAGGAAGGAATTAAGGGAGGCTGTGCAAATTGAGCCAGAGATAGGCAGGAGGGAAGTCCACCCAGTAGCGGCATAGAAGCTCATGCTGATAAGGGGCATGATATGTTCCATTTGGACCTGCTGGTCTTTCTGGACCCACTTCCTGGGTGTGTGAACAGCTGCAGCAGTTTCTGTTCCAGCTCTTGCAAAAGGCTATTGAGATATAGATGTCCTAGTGCCCTGTGCCCTGACTATGGGCACAGACAAGCAACACGGCTTTGAGAAAAAGTGGGTTTTTAGTGTTGTATCTAACTGTATTATTTTTAGATGTGTTCCCTGCCTCGGCCTTTTCTCCGTTTCAGAGACTCCAGAGCTTGCAAAAAGAAATTGGGAAGCGACTTCTAGGGAAGCAATGGCAAACGGAGCTGATGACCGCAGCAGAATGAGTTACAGGTGAATGGACCGGTGTTTTGGAATTCCTCTCCGGACAAGGAGAGGACTCGGGATAGCTCCCATGTGCTCTATACAGCAGCTTCTTGTGAGGAGACCGTAAGAGAGTGGTCTCCGGTGGGTTTAGAACTCTAAGAACCAAGGGATTTCCATCTTCACCCAAGCTGTAGTCAGCACCTTTCAAAAGGACACTGGGTTCGCATATGTCCTTTCTTAACCACTTCTTGTAATGATATGTGGGAATGACCTTGAGAGATGAGGGGAAGAGATGCTGCCTAGGCTGACACTTCTGGAAATTGCTTGTTAACAGTTATTTGGATATTAAAAACCTTCAGAAAGACAAGTTTCATTATACTGGGTGTTGATCAGGAAAAACACAATAAGATGGGATTTTGAAAGTTGGACACTAGAGGAAACCAGAAAGAACTAAAGATTATAATTAAAGGAGAAGAGATTCACTAATACAGAATGGAGCAAACTAATCTGACTTTGGAAGAATTCAAGGATATTTGGGAACAATGCACTCAGAAATTACTCTTAAGATCGTTATTACAAAAATGGATTTAAAAGAGGTTATAGAAGGGGAACAGATTTTATTGGACAAAACAGACTGAGGCTGATTCAAATGTGGATCTGAAAGTGGATTTAAAAATGTGAGGCTACAAGAATGATATGGAAAAAGGTGTTATGCTGGATTTACAAATGAAACCAGCTGATGTCTTAATAATTAAAAGGGATATACAAATAAGAAACCGGAAGAGTGACTTGGATAACTTTCTTATTTTGGATTTACAAAAGAGATGTGTTGAAGTTTTGAAGGAGCTTCTAAGCGGAGATGAAGAGAAAATGAATTTAAGTTCTGAGATTAAAGATCAAGATTGTTCAAAGCAAAGGAAAGGAATATAAAGTTGGTTTATTTGATCAAGGTTAAAATATATGTGCTGTTGTTTCTGGTAACTCTTATTGGATTTTTGCTGACCAGGACCAAATGACAAGGCTTTAAAGATTTGCTTATAAACAAGAGATGAGATATGGGAAGAAGAGGTATTTTATTGCATTTTTAGAGAAAGTGATAAGTTACTGTGTTAAAAGGAAAGGAATATAGAGTGGGTTTATTTAACTGCGGTTAAAATATATGTATTGTTATTTCTGGTAACTCTTAATGGACTTTTGCTGATTAGGGCTGAATGACGAGGCTTTAAGAATTTGTTTAAGAGATGAGATATGGGAAGAAGAGATATTTTGTGGTAGTGTCAGAGAAGGTGATAAGTTACTGAAATTGTATTTGTGACGAAGGGGGAAGTCATTTCTTTATATATCTCTTTTCTTTTTTCTTTATATATATACATATACACAAACACACACACACACTTTAATTTTTTTCTTTTTTCTCTGCACTTTTTATTTTTTATATTTTTCTTAGTTTGTATTAGTTTTTTATCTTTGTATCCTTAACCTTTAATAAAAATTATTACAAAAAAAAAATTGGGAAGCGCCTGCCACCCTTGAACTGCAGGCAGCCCACCCCCCCCACCCCCACTGTAGTGCTTCAGCTCATTCCTTTTGTTTCCATAAAACTCTTTTCTGTTTCTTAAAGAGCAGCTTTTGCCTCTCGTGCCTCAGCCCACCCCATGAAGCTTTGCGTTCACCTGCTCTGCAGGTGTGGGCTGAAGTCAGGAGTGTCTGGGAATCCCTTGAGAGAGAATGCGCGTGCACGCATGCGTGTATCTGTGCATGCATGCAAGTGTTGCTGACACAGGCCGAATGAGAAGCTCTTGGTGCCACCGTTGACCCGGCGCCCTGCTGGAAAGGCGTAGTCAACAGCCGCCTGGCTTTTCGGCAAGGGTGGGGGATGAGCTGGGAGAAGGCACGATCCTTCCATAAAACCATTTTCAGACAACGAAGGGGGAAGCTGGCCATGTTTCAGGCCAGCAGCCCAGCTTAAATACTTGGGTTGACTCACGGACTGTTCTGCAAGAAGTTGCTCCGATTTGTTCATACCAGCCTTCCTCAGCCCCGTATCCTTGTGATATGCTGGGATTACAACTCCAGTTCCCAAAGAGAATGGGAAGGCTGGGAGTTGGAGCCCCAACATATGAGGATGGTGGCAGGTTGGGAACGTTGGTCTGTCTACGTGTTGACCAGGGCTGGATGATGTTTGGGAAGACTGTAGGAATGAAGGAAATGTTGGGGTTAGAAAGGAGCAGGAGACACACATGCGCACCCACAGCCCCACTTGGATTCTTGGAATTAATGTTATTGTTCGCAGTCTGGCTAGAGGTTGGAGGCCTCTAATCTGTTTATGCCAAGTGTCGTTTCTGCCCACTGCAACCCATGGCAAGGTTGCAGTTCCAACGTGCCCATTTGGAGAGTACCCAGTGCTGCCAGCCAAAAAGCAGCAGGATGAGCTGAACTGAAAGATCCTTTCCTTGGCAACTGCTACTGCCGATGCTCTGTGCCTCCTGGTGACATTTGAAGTTACTATGGACACCCAAGTGTGCGGGCACTCAGCCTCCCCTTGGCAGCCTCTGCCGTTTATCCAGACACCGCTTTCAAATCTTCCCCCCTCTCCTCCCCTCCCCAAATAAGAGTTGGAAGGCTTTCTTGTCAAAACCCTGCAGTTGTCAAGCGGCGGTGCAATTTCTCACAGGCCTCAAGTACGAGCCAGGAATAGGTGGGATACCATGAAAGACAGAATTGCAGCATCCTGAGGACCCTATTGAGTATTGGGCTTTTCATAACAGCTCTTATTACCTATGGCGGTTTGATGCTGCCTTGGCATTGCTGCTTTGGCGTTGGAGGATACACTTTCTGATGCCATGGGCTGTGAACTCAGTCCACAACAGGAAGAAAGGATTTCGGGGGTGCGGAGCAGAAGCCAAGGGTAGAGCTGAGATTGGACCCAGATTTGTCTCTGTCCTTTCCATTCCTTGGGGCTACGTTTACGCCTCTGCTTCACCATCATAGGGTTTGCCAGGTGGTTTCTTAGTAAGCTGAGTGAATCCAGACGTTGCAAAAAACTCTCCAAAACGTGATTCTGACTGCGGCTTCATTGATGGGAGATCAGTCAGGGTAGTGGCGCTTCTACATTTAAAAAATAGTTCCAAAAATGTTAAGTAGCTGCACTGGTCAATTGGGCAGGAAAGTGCAAAAGTCACCCTGGGACAATACTGTACATTTATTAGAGTTAATAAAAATGTCACGGTGCTCAAGCATGTGACATTTTGATTTGGTTGAGAGACAAGTATGACTGTTGCAGCTGTTGACTTTCTTTGTCCACAGATCCCTGTCCCCTGAGAGCCAGTCAACAACTTGGGTTGAAAAGATGCTTCCTTCCTATTTTACTCATTGCTTATGATGCTGGGAAATGCCTTTAGTTATGGGAATGAATCACTTTTTCTTTTGGGTCCAAACTTGCCTCTTCCTTGGTAGTATCCCAGCTAAGCTGTGTAGATTATTCCAAACAACTAGGTTGGAAATGTTTCACTGATAAGCAAAGAAAACTACATAAGCGAGAAAAGCAAGTTAACATGGGGATCCGAATCTGCACTTCCCTCCTAGATTTGACCGATATATAGCCCTCTGATGGGAAATCCGTGCAAGAAACTCCTGCTGTGGGTGGGGGCTTGTGTATCAGGGGAATCAAGTCAGTTCAGGGCAGGAATGTCTGTATGAATTTGATTCTAGGTTAGAATAGTCTTGGGAGTTGGGAGCCAGGAGTAAGGGGATGAACCTTGTGAATTTTTTTGGAGATAACTGGTGGGAAAAGTACCCCTACACTTTTGTTTTACCTAAAGCCATCTTACTTGGATTTGCAATCATACGATTTCTAATAAAGGAGTTCATATCTTCTCTGAAAATTTAACCTTTCTTTTGCTTCGAGATCCCGTTCTTTCTTCCCTTCTCCACACCTGCATCTTCCTTCCTGGTTCTTGGTTGCATGTGGGAGAGGGGATCCTGTGGCCCTCCAGCCACTGCTGAGCATCAACGCTCCTCTCTGTTGGCAGAACCCTGTCAGGTGCTGAATGGCTTAGCCAAATCTACTGGGGCAGAAGTTCCCCATCCCTTCATTATTGCCAAAGCAGCATGTGGTTTGCTCTCCATGACTAAACTGAGGTTCCCAATTGTGGCTCTAGATGGTGGACACAAACCAGCTAGTTCGGATGTAATGGCAAAATGTGGCTTGAAACAAAAGGAAGGAAAGAGAAGCTCCAGCTGGTACAGAAGGAAGGTTGTTAGAAGTTCAGGAGTACCAAATCTATAGTACTGTGTATGATGGCTTAGGAGAGCAAACAGATGTTCTGAGAACATTCCTACCGCAGTAGGATATGCATGAATCTGGCCTTCATCAAGTTCCCTATAAGGATCAGGATCTTCTTAGCAATTAATGCTGTTCCAAACCATCAAGAAAGTTAGGAAAGAATCACAAGTAAGATGCCGAGAAGGGAAAAAAAAGTGCTTGCAAAATGTTTCCAAGGAGAAGCAATCTGTTTGAATTTTTTTCCTGTTTTAAATGACAATATGGAATTCCCCATAGAAGGTTGGAGTTATTGGGGTGGGGAAGGGTGGGGAATGTGAAACCAGACAAAAACAAAAAGCAGAAGTTCTTT